AATGCAGAAAGACCCACAAAGAAACAATAACTGAAATCAGCTGCAGTAAAGGCTTGGCAAAGCATCACAAAGGAGGAAACCCAGTCTCTGGTGATGTCCATGAGTTCCAGACTTAAGGCAGTCATTGCCTACAAAGGATTCTAAACAAAATATAAAAAATGTACATTTTAATTATGATTATATTTATTTGTCCATTTACATTTGAACCCCTGAAAATAGGGGGACTGTGCATAAAAATGGTTGTAATTCCTAAGTATTTTATGTTATATTTTTGTTCAACCCCTTGAATTAAAGTTTAAAGTCTGCACTTCAATTTCATCTTGATTGTTTCATTTTAATTCTATTCTAGTGGCATACAAAGCCGAAATTATGAAAATTGTGTCAGTGTCTAAATATATATGGACCTAACTCGATATAATTTATTCATAATAGTTTTATCATGTTAATGGATATGACAATGTTAATGTATTTGGTCTTGTCGGACTAGATCTGCTACACAAGCTGTTGCTGCTGCTGAGCAAGTATGGACTTGCTGATGCCAGTAGATTCAAATACATTCTTCTGTGAAAATATAAGAAATGCAGCTGCTGCATGAATGGGTATACATAAATCCCATAACAGTTCTAGACAGGTGGAGCTGGGGGAGGTTGAGGGTTTCAGAGGATAACGCACTGCAGTACCAGCTTACAGTAAACACTGAACCAGACTATTTAATTGTTGAGAAAGCAAGCTTATTGGCTGCAGAATCAGCAGAGTCAGTTTTCTTGTGCAGTTTAGATTTTTTTTTAAATAATTTATTCCTGTGATGGCTACAAGTTGAAAATGCTACATATACAGTAAATAATACATATATTTGTAATAACAAATATATGATATAATATGATAATAAATATTATAATTACAAAACTACTAAAATATTATCTAGAAAATATTGCATTTGTACCGTAACAAGTGTATTTTTTTTTACATTATTGTACTGTATAAACCTGGAGAAAAACATCCAATCCAATTCCAGTGGATGAAATCAAGCCCTACCATACATTTCCTACTAAATATTCTGATTCAGACAGAAGTATTATATGTTTTAAAATGTGATTGGCTATGAAAGCTATTTTATGCATTAGCCAGTTTGAAAACTGTTTGTTTTTGTTTCATTTTCTCTGTTGTGGGTGTTGCTTTATTGACCACTGTTTCTCTCGAGTCCACTTACTGAATAAGTCTAGTAGCCTTTCTTCTCTTTGACTGATTTGTGAGTGTGCACTGAAGCTCAAATAAAGTGGTGTAAATTCTCTTGCTCAGTTGTGGAAATGTCTGAAGCTAATTGACACAATGTTTAATAACAGTGTTCATATACATGGAACAATGAAAAATTACAATCTTAAATCAACACTATGAAGTTTTCTTAAAACTCAGGGAAAATACTAAGACTTTCTCTGAGGCAGACTACCAGGAAAAGTGAAAATTGGTTTCCAGGGAGCTCTGTGAGCAGAGAATGAGGCAATCCAGACATTTTCATTTGAACAGTGTCAATTATCAAAAACAGCAGCGAGACTCTGACCGCTGCTGTCAAACGGAGAGGCTTTACTGAGTTATTTTAAATGAACGGGAAACTAGAATATGACCCGTTGTTTGCCTACAATGACGACAAGGCACTTTTGCTATAAAAGACAAGAAAAACAAGGGAAGGTATCATGATGTGTTGAGTCTTTTATCTTCTGGGGTCGATGAAGAGAAAATGAACACATTAGAACATTCACACTGAGATATCAAAGGAAAATACTGTTTATTTGAATTCAGAGGAAACACATTTGATATTTGGATGCATTTTATAGAGGTCATCACTTTCAAAAGCAGGAGGTATGGCATATTGGTTTTAGCATGAAGTCGCATGGCATTCACGCTCAGTCAGTAGCGCATCTAACCGCAGTGCCACGCCTCTAGGTCAGAATGAGCAGCAGCGCTGTGGTAGGGAGAAAGAGCTGCAATTTATTTTGGAGAGGTGTTATACACAGGGGAGCATTTAAACTGTAAAATGTTTTGCAAGCGCCTTACTGCTGAGACCAAACAGCCAGTGGCGTGTTGCGGGCTTTTGAAATGAGAAGGCGGTGTCCTCTCTTTGGTTTTATGTGCGTGTGTGTGTATGTGTATGTGTGAGAAATCATAGATGTATAATCACAAATTGTATAATTAATATGATGTTTAGACAGCTTTTGGGTTTCAGAAGCTAATGCTACCGTATAATATTCAATACTATACTATTTCAATACTATTATGTTTTATGTTTATATTTATATATAAAATATTTATATATGATTTATATGAGCAATGTCACACAAGCAACAGTGCGATATGACTGTATATCGGCACTATATATCGGCAGGTATTCACAGCGTACCGATATACAGCCATAACGCACTGCAACTCGTGTAATATTGCGTTTATACAACAGTTTGACGGCACAAGTGTGTAAATACATGAGAAACAACAACGGAGTGTCTTTGAAAACCCTCTTTTGTGTGAACTACTTCCTTCCGCCACAGATTCAAATCTCAAGTTGACAGTGTAACAGCTGAGCCCAAGCCTCCGTTACTAATTCCAAAACGTCACTTTAGAACTAGTAATGAAGGAACATTGAGCTACTTCATTGAAAACTTATTGTATTACTGTATTAAAAGCTCACTATATTATATTGAGTCGAGTAATATGAGAGAAATGGACTGAGCGAGTGTGATTACCCTTTAAATAATTTTCTAAAATAAATCTATTTATTGAATAATAATATTTGATAAACAACAAATAATATTTGATAAACAACAGCATCATAAAAGTTGCTATAGGCAATTCAGTCAAAAGTACAAAGGCAGTGCTCTGATATACAGCATTGAAGTTACATGAAATATAACATGATGAGATTTTACCCTCAGCCAAAACTATTTGCTCTGGAACAAATAATAGATTAATGAGACCAAAGACTACCCGCGACATTTACCCAAAACAAATTATATCTCATGTTTAACTTTATATAGACATCAGAGCATTTTTGGGTGTCCATTCACTTAGAGTGCATGGTTTGACATTATTTCAGTCTTGGAAATGATTAAAAGTGGTGATATACACTACCAAAAATTTCAAAAGTTTGGAGTCAGTAAGATTGATTGATTGAATTAATTTTTTAAGAAATTGATTATTTTATTTTAAAGGATTCATTGAATTAATCAAAAGCGACCGTAAAGACATTTATAATGTTATAAAAATTTCGGTAACACTTTCTATGAAGCCCATATTTATAATACATTATAAGGGATTTCAAATAAATGCAGATCTTTTGAACTGTCTGTTCATCAAAGTATCCTGAAAAATCTGTGTATCCCAGTTTTCAGATAAAAAGTTTTTCAACATTTTGTGAGTTTGAGGCAGCATTATTAAAAAAGATATTGGCTCTTTAGAGAAGATGCTTTAGAAAAAAAAATTGCATTATAAACCCAATTAGATTTTGTATTATGCCATTTTTTCTATTGTTTTATTTTTGTATTGTTGATTATTTTCTCATCCAGGTTTTTTGAGGAAGTACTGCCTCTTATGTCTCTTCTGAGAAAACGCCCCTGCAAACAACAGCCATTAGATATTCAGCCAGTGTTTGTACAACTAAATGTCTTTATGTAATGTCTCTATGAAACATTCAGACCTTCAGAACTTGCAGTGTAATTTAATAACCGGATAGAATAATTTCTCAAATGGCTTCATTCTAGTTGAAGTAGACACATCCTCTGCACTGAATGTGCTTTAACTTTGATCTCAAGGGCCAATCCAAAAATTATAAGCATGAGTTGATTCGCATCCAGAATTATCATAGCATGAAACTGCTGATCCAGAGTTGTTTCTACATGGCAGTCATGGCCATAATCCTAATGACAGGTGAAGCAGAAGCTGATTATATCAAAAATCATTCTTCATGACTGAATAGAGCTCAAATCCCAAAGCTTCATAGACTTCATTCGTTTCTGTGTGTTCACTTCAACAAGATCACAGATCTAGCTCTAATGAGCCTCTTTTTCTCCCAGACGAATTAGATGAATGTTTTGGTTCTATTCTCTCTGCTTTGTAATCAATGCAGACTTTGTGTTGTTGCTGTCAATTCAACACATGCCATAGCAAAATTTATTTATTTAAATTTCCTGGGCAAAATATATTTCATATATATGCTCAACATATGCCATAAATATCACTGCATTAAAGTTGTATATATATGGAAACACTTTAGTATAGGGACCAATTCACACTATTAACTAGTTGCTTATTAGCATGCTCATTTCTAACATATTGACTGTTTATTAGTACTTGTAAAGCACATATTACGTTTAAAGCACATATTCTGCATGACCATATTCTACATCCCCAATCCAACCAAATACCTAAACTAATAATAACTATTAATAAGCAGCAACGTAGGAGTTAATTGAGGCAAAAGTCATAGTCAGTGGTTTGAGAGTTGAGAATTGGACCTTAAAATACCATATTTGTGACCATATTTTATATTAAAATAAAATGTTTATTTATAAAAAAAAACATTTACCCTATATATTGCATTTATCTAAAATGGTTTGCCATGTAAAGTTTAACCATTTTTATGGCTGGTTATATAGATGTATATAAATATTATAAATAATATATAAATGTTATATAATGTAATATTACAACCAACAAAATTCAGGTAGGAAACAAATAAGGCAAAATCAATGAACGAACGGACAAACGAATGAAAGAACGAATCAATCAATCAATCAATCATATATATTTTGGTACTTTGTTTATTACATTAATTGGTTTCAATATTACATTAAATAATAATAATGATAATAATAATAATACTCAGGGAACAGGGAATATAAAGTTTGGGTCAATTTGAATTATAGTTTTAAATATTTTAACTTCAACAACTTTTAAAACTTTTAAAATATTTGAACCTGCTACAACTTTTTTCCCTCTCTCTCTCTTTATAGGACAGTGCAACCATGCAGTTCTGTGCCAACAAATTGGACAAGAAGGATTTTTTTGGAAAATCCGATCCCTTCATGGTCTTCTACAGAAGTAACGAAGATGGCACGTAAGTGTCCTACCTTGATTTAAAACACCACAGCTGTGTGTTAATCATAGGCACTGTAAAAGGAACATCTCCCATGATACCCAGCACCCACCCTCACCCCCGTACTATGAGACTGGCAAAACATTTCGCTGCTCTGTGGGAAATTTATGGGCTGGAAATGACTCTCTGTGTGTGTCAGAGGAACTCTCTGTGTGTGTCTCTGTGTCTGTCAGAGTGTGTGACAGAGGAACCGGTAAAGGCTTCCTATCCTTTTCCGAATTTTCCATCAAAGCCTCTTTACGTAAGTGACCGTGGTTTCATGTTTTCAAGAGCCTTGATGTAGTTTGCCCATTTTGGGCCCTATTTTAACGATCTAAGCACATGGTCTAAAGCGCATAGCACAAATGTGCTTAGGGCGTGTCCGAATCCACTTTTGGTAGTTTAAGGACGGGAAAAATGGTCGGCGCGCCCGGCGCATCGTCTAGAAGGGTTGTCCCTATTCTCTTAATGAGTAATGGGTGTGTTTTGGCAAAGAGGCAGTTGCGCTCGCGCCATGGCGGATTCGCTATTTACATGGAGGAATTTGCAAGCGGAAAAACGGAGCGCTTCTCTAGTGAGGGAACGGATGTGCTCGTGCGCGTAATTCTGATACATGCAAAGACTATCCATTATGACATGTAGGCATTTTTATATTTATGTACACAATAATAATCTTTTACATTTTAATCCTTTAATTTTTCATTTTTAAAAATGTTTGTGTGCTGCTGTGTGCCCCTGTGTTTAGGTTTAGGATGTTTTAATGATGCTCTTTGGCACAGATGAAGGGGCTAATTATCAAATGTTAAATAATCTCTGTTATAGAATGGAAGGATGTTAATTTTTATGGTTTGATAATTGCACTACAATGCAATTTCAAATACCTTTAGAAACCATATTATTTACATGACATATGTCATTTCCAAAGTCTAAAAAAATACCCCCAAAAACAATGCGATGTGTATAACTGATGCTGTAGTCCATATGGTTTGTCATCTTTGACCACCATGAAATAAACACAGCAGGTGGCTGATGTCAGTCATGTTCAAGTTTCCTCAGAAGTTATACGCAGTGCCTTCACATCTTTGTGTTTCTGTTTGTTCTCTCAACATGAAGGTTTACGATCTGCCATAAGACTGAGGTGGTGAAGAACACCCTCAACCCTGTTTGGCAGCTGTTCACCATTCCAGTCAGAGCTCTCTGTAATGGAGACTATGACAGGTAAGACACGCAGACCAGCACTGGCTTTCTTACATAACACCATTAGGTCTCTTAACCCTTTAAATTTCACCCCTAAAAGGAGTCAATAAAAAAAATCTTATTATTGGACATATATATCTATCTATCTATCTATCTATCTATCTATCTATCTATCTGTCTGTCTGTCTGTCTGTCTGTCTATCTTTTTTTGTTTTTTTCAAAGATAAGTGTAGTTGGTTACCAAGGAGACAGCAGAAGAAGAGCTTGATGATGAAATATGAGACATGTGTCAACGTAGGCTCATTGAAAAAGTGTGCCTCTACCTACATACCTATACTGTACAATTCATTGCAGTTTCTAGTTGAAATAAATGTTAGTGGCAGTAAAACACTAACACATATGAACTATTACCATAGTACATGATTTATAAAGTAAAACATTTTGATGTGGATTTTCTGTTGTTGTAAACTTGCTCGGTTGCTCACCTGGTACAGCAGTGCACTTGCAATGCAGAGTGCTTGGGTTCGAGTCCCGTGAGGCTCAAAGATTTGTAGATGCAAAGTAAAATGTATTTCTAGCTCACATTTGCTATAGTGTAAGAAACACCAAAATACCCACAGTATGTAAGATGGTTTTTTGAAAAAGTCATTTTTTTGCAGTTACATTTCGTTTCAGGGGTAACAGTAAAAATACATCTTGCTTATTGTAGTTATTTTAGTATTATTTATAAACTATTATAGTATTTATTAATATTTTGAAATACATTTTATTTTCAGTTTTGAATTAAATTTTAGTTTAAGTTTTGGTATTTTTGCTATGTGCTTTTGTTATTTTTATTAGTTTTTGTATATTTCTATTCAACTTTAATTTGTTTATTTCAGTTTTATTTAAAGTTATTTAAGTTATTTTCCAAGGCAAGATTTCTATTTTTTAATCTGCCACTAATATTTATATATATTTTCAACTTTATTTTAATTATCTAATATATTTGTAAGGGATAATCAACGGCTTGCTGTGCATTAAAGGATTTTAAATGCACGACGTGGAGGCAAAGAACCAGCCTCAGCGAAGAGCATTTAAAATCCTTTAATGCACGACAAGTCGTTGATTATCCCACTTAATCCATGTTTTAGTTAACTATAACATAGTCATCTTCATCTATGACTAAGTGTTGCACATTTGACATACAAGACCATATAAGTGTGATGTGAAGAATAGGCCAACGGAGTTTTGCCTTTTAAAAGCTTGTTCAAGAGTGTTTCCATACAAAGATGACTGAACATCAGATATAATGATGAATAATTTAACTAAAATATGTACAGTGTGTTAAATAAGATCTTAATAACTGCTTTTACAAAGCTGTTTTAGAGATGCGAGCAGATCGTCTCCGTGGTTACCACAGAGGAACTGTTGAACTTGACCCTTGCCTACATGTATTTGCTCGAGAATGCTATAAGCATTATACATTTATTATACATCAGTTTAAAAAGAGAAATACTGTAGAGATAACATAGGACTTAGTGTGACGTGCCTGAGTAGCAACAGTAGTACATGCTCTGCCCACTCCTCACACATTTGACACAGGCAGGGTTACCACCCTGTCTCGACCAATCAGCTTGGGTAACCAAAACTGCATGACGAAAAATTACGTTCTTGCCTGCGTGTGCTCTAGCTGCTTATTCTTTCATGACTGGCACCATGCTGCAGTACGGTGCTGAACTGTGCCACATGCCACACCAAATCAGGAAGTGAGGCATTTTGACTAAATTTCATTGTGCCTTTATTCACAAATGAGTGTCAGATATCTTCAAAAATGGTCAGTGGTAACGATTTGGGGTGGGACTACCTGTTTGTTCAACCATTAGCAATGGAAAGATGTTTCTAACAGTCATTATTTTTGAAATTCCATTTTCTGCCACTTAAAAAAATAGTGAGCTGCAATTCAAAGGGATTCTTCTCTGAAGAATAAAAATGATCAGAATAGTGTGCTGCAGCATTGTTGTATTTGTGTAGGTCAAAACCTGGAAATGGCATTTCAGGTTCCATCATCCCAAAGTCAATGTTTTTTTTTTTTGGTCAAATACCTCAGATAAGGTCTGTGGTTAAAACAAGCTCAATATATATTTTAAGTTTTATTCTACAACATAAAGTAAATAATACTTTGCGATTTTATTAAAGGGGAAATTGGATCCAAAATTCACTTTTACATGGTGTTTGAACTGAAATGTGTCTTGGCAGTGTGTGAACACAACCACCCTATAATGATAAAAATCCACCCAGTGCTTTTTTTTTTTTTTAAATCCCCACAAATAATAATCACTTTCTCAGAGCAAGCTGTTCACAGATTCTGGGCAAACTGACATCACTTTGCACAGGCCTCTCCCGTGACTGTTGACGGACATTGCCGTTTCAGCATAGACCTGTGAGTAAGCTATAAACAGCAGTGTTGGGGAGTAGCTAGCTACAAGTAGTGACGCTACTAACGTAACTACATTTTTCAGTAGCTTGACAGTAGCTCAGCTACTTTTAAAACAGTGTAGCTTTTCCAGTAGCGAACTACTTTTTCCAGCAAGTAGCGGTGTAGCACAACCAAAAGCTACATTCCGTTTTGCATTCTGAGTCACAAGCCTGTAATGCATTGAAACAGTGCAGCGTCTTCTTCTGACTAGATCACAAACTAAAATTGTTCATTACCTCCATCTGTTGTGATCACGCATCTCGCGGCTTTACAGTCTGTACTCCGACAAGAGATCGTCTGATGATTTGCCAAAGGATGTACAGGAGTGGATATTTCACATGAATCAGCTGTAATTTATGCAAAACAAAGATTAAAATGCGGTCTACGTCGAAGATTTCAAGCACATACAGGAGGTGAATAATAACCTTTTTAAACTGATTAATTTTCCTGCTTTATTGCACTGTATATCAAATGTCTATTTTACGATGAACCGTCATAATATAATCTGTCCCCCACTGTTTTGTAATGAACACTAATCGAACAGAAAATAAAATAATGATATAGTAGTGTGCTTATCATTTGGTAAAGGATGTTGTGGCAGGATTCCACGCAAAGTGCATTGTTCGATCTATCTAAATGCATTTTGTTTGTGCGATTCATTTTACAACAGGCTGCTTTGTAAACAAGTCAACACAAAGCAGTTTTTGCTAAAAAGTTGTTCACCTTCAGCTTCACCTCCAGAAGAGAATCTTTGCAAATCGCCTTTCCTAATAATGTGCTAGTTAGCAAGTTTCACAATGAATGCAGCTAAAGTTAACAGTCTCACACCGTGTCTACACCAGACACGAGCGGTGTGGCGCAACAAAATACTGTAGAACTCATTATAATCAGTGATGCTGTCTACACTGAACACGATTGGGCTTGTTTTGGTTGTGAGTGGGCTACTTTTGAGTAGGAATTCGGCTGGTTTTGTTACACAGACATGGCAATCTTGGCTGCTAACAAGTGGTTATATATAGGGTGACCATACGTGCCCTTTTTCCTGGACACATCCTGGCCAGGATTTCTATATTGCATTAAATATGCAAGGGTTGGTTTTGTTTTCCTGTTTTATACTTTACTTGCTGAAGGTAATGACTGAAAAGTAGTTTGACCAATAACATGCAGGCATCGTAAACACCAGTTGGTCTGTGCAGCACAAACAAAGCCAAAACCTTGATATTTTAGGCAACATAGAAATACTGGCCAGGATGTGTCCTGCAAAAAGGGTATGTATGGTCACCCCAGGTTATATCGGACAACGTAAGTTGACCATATAAACTCATCTACTCACTAGTCAACTTTCACTGCCTTGTTGTTAATAACCATTCTCTTGCAAACTAGTCTAACTAAAACATTCAGAAAATATGTTTTTTAATAAAGACTGAAAGTGTTGTTGAAAGGTTAGTGGCCTTGAAGTCATGTGACTTTGGTCTAGTTCATTTATATAGCCATTTACCCTTGTGTTCATTTGTGAAGATTATCATGATAAACAATATGTGTAAGAATCATAAACTTTAATTGGCCGCAGAGCTCATTTTCTGCAATAACCCTAGAGCCAATGGAAAAATTGTGTTGGGTTTTTGAAGATATTTCAAAGTATACTTCAAAGGTTTTTGTCCACACGTAGTGTTGTATATACATAGTATTCACCGGGAGTGAGTGAATGATGACAGCATTTTCATTTTTGTGTGAACTATGCCTTTAACTCTGTGCTACAAATCCTGAGATAGCCTGTTTCATTTATAAATATAAAAATGCTTTCAGCACATCTCTTTCTGTATCCAGCTGTCTTCTCTGGCTCATCATACTGCAGAGCCCTGGCACTCCACCTATCAGGCACGGCCGTATCTTTGACAGGCCATACACATCATGAAAGAGCATTAACAGTGGGGAAATAAACCAGGACAGTGAATATATATGGAACATAAATTACATGATGTTGCAGTGCCACCACAGGCGGTTGTCTCCTGGGGAACTGTGCTGATCTGTGTGAATGAAGTTCCCAAAGAGGACGACGTCAATACATCACCCATGCCATTTATGTAGATGGTAACAAATTATAGCTCCAGAGCCCATTAAAATAGATGTCAGCGTGCATCCATTCTATTCCAAGCTTCAAAAGAGTAGATACGAAACATCCCCCACACGTCTCCATGGTTTTATTTTGATCTCAGTTAATTTGAGACGGTAATGAAATGAATCACAGATGTTCTACTTTAGACTAAGAATAAACCTTGGGGAGGATATATGCCTTGTTTTATCTATGAAAACCTTAGGCTAAAGTTTTTCGAAATTTCCAGAGGAATCAAATTTTCACTAGAAAATAACAACTGTCAAGCAGAATTTGAAAATGCAGCTCAAATATATATGAATGTTTTATGAAGAGACTTTCACAGTTTTGCAATAAACACTGGTGTTGACATCCAATGTGGCTTTCCAATCCCACGCAACGCTCGAATCGATGAGAAGCTCGGCTCAACGTTTTGGTTTGAGGTCAGTGCATGGGAATTAAAAACAGCTC